ACTCAGAGCAGAGGGTCCCTGAGCACAGATCTCACAGAACATCAGGGGCAGAAGGGAATCAAGATGCCCATTTTACTGCCCCTGTAGCCTGGATTGGAGGCATGGGACAAGCCAGAAGTTCTGCTTTTATCCACCGAATCTCCCCCCAACCCTTCCCCCAGCTCTATTTTACCTGTCTTATTTGTCTTTGAGACAAGAGTTCATTTGAAGAAAAAGCTCTGTGTCTAAAGAATAATAATGGGGGAGTGAGGATACCTGTATTGTCCAAATCCTCATTTTACAAATGGGGAAATAGAGGATGAGAGAGGAAAACTACTTTCTATACCTTAAGAAATGGCAAACAGGAGAAATCTTAGAGAAAGAGAGGGAAACAAAGTCCCTAAGGAAAAAAAGTCTATAGAGATAGCGTCACAAGATGAATTACCTCAGCGGTCTATTTGAGAGATTATGTCATGTCAGGAAAGTTCTAGAGACTTGAGCCTCTCCTTCATGGGAGGTCATAAAGGGAACACTGGCCCCTCAGCCTGACTCCCAGAGAGAACCTCAGGCTGATGAGCAATAACTGCAACAATGTCATTTCCCTGGCCATGCTGAGCCCCACAGGAAATCTCAGAATTTCTTTCACTCCAGAACAAGGCCCACAGGAATGTCGCTGCACCCAGAGCTCTGTGGTTTGATTTCACTGGAGAATTTCCTAGGGGAAAGCTTCTGAGGGAGATTGTTCAGCAAGACAGAAAAATGCTGCAGTGAGGCCATCTCCTGCTGGAAGGTGTGGATTTGAAAGGCCTCCTGGAGTTTACACAGCAGTCCTAATCCCCTTGTAGCTCACAGCAGCCCTGGCCAAGCTCCAAGCACTTTCTCAAGGATTTCCAACTCCAGGACATGGGAGATTGGGATAGTTTGTTTTACAATTTTACAAGTTGATCTAATAAAGGGCTTGACCCTTAGGGCCTGTTCTGTTTGTAGAAGTAAGCCTCTGATTTTCCCAGGCACATCGGTGAGAGTTGAGAGACCTGTGTTTACCTAGGGGCAGAGGTTACAAGGCATTGCCCCAAACTGAAAATCATCTTGAAGGAGAGGGTCATTTTCTGTCTTTGCCTTCTCTGTTGGTGTTCCTCATTCGTTCACACTAAAAAGCAGTGTGTATACAAGTATATCAGTAAGTCATCATTCTGATCATAAATGCACTTTTATTCAACAGGTATTGAGTTCCTCTCATGTACCAGCCATTTTTCTAGACGTTGGGATATCAGCAGACAGAACAAAGTCGTGCCCTTGTGGACTCCTCTTTCTTGGAAGGGAAGATGAACTGATCCTGCCACTCCCAGTGGGGGCAGGTGCCCTGCAGGAGAATAGGAGCACAGAGCTGCCATAATATTCAAGACTTTTCCTGATGAGGTGGCATTTGAGAAAGGCCTGAAGGAAGTAAGCGAGCTAGTACTGTGGACATGTGGGGAAGAGAGTTCCTAACAGAGAGAGCCAAAGGGCAAAAGCCAGGCGGGAGCATGGCTGGTGGGTTGGAGGGGCAACGCCAAGTCGGAGGTGCAGGCCAGTGTGGCTGGAGCTGAGTGGGCGAGAGGGAGTTGAGGTCAGAGTCCGCTGAGAACAAGACTAAAATGGCTTTGCAAAAAGGCTTTAGCCTTTCATTTTGAAATTGGAAGCCACTGGAGGGTTTTAAGTGTTCACAGAGGACTCTGAGCACTGTGTGGAGAAGAAACTAATGGGGACCAAAGGGCAGAAGAAAGGAGACCACTTAGGAGGCTAAACATTAAGGTCACCTTCTGGATACATTTTGAGGTAGTGCATAGGATTTGTTGGTTGATTGGATGTCAGATGTGAAAGAAGGAAGATTCAAAGATGACACCAAAGATTTTGAGCATTTGCAAGAATGGAGTTGTCATTTACAGAAATGGGGAAGATGGGTCCACAGGATTTCTGATTTGACTAGTAGTTTTAGGAAGAAAGTGTGGAAATTCAAGAAAGAAAAAATTTGACTTAATCATTGGTTCCTTAATTTTCTGCATCCGTTATGACAGTCTTGTTTGTATTTGGATCACTTCTACCACAGTTTTCTTGGCTGAAGTACAGGTCCCAGTGTACTAACTTATAGGGACCCTTAGCCAGCCCCCTGTGATTCAGTGCGGTCCGAAAGCTGGGGGCACAGAAGAACTTTGGGGCAGATTCTGTCTCTGGGACATCCCTCAGTTCATGGTTTCCTAGGGCTGCTTAACAAATTATTGCAAAGGTGGTTGGTTTAGAACAACAGAAAATTATTCTCTCACAAGTTTTAGAAGCTAGAAGTCCAAAACCAAGGTGTCATGGGCCATACTCCCTCCGAAGCCTCTGGGGAAAAACCCTTCCGTTTCCTCCTCCTAGCCTCTGGTGGTTGCTGACCATTCTTGGTCTTCGTTTGCTTATAGATGCGTCCTTCCCTTTCTGCCTCCCATCAGGGGATGGCATTCTGTCTCTGGGTCCCTTTTGTCTTCATGTGGCCTTATAAAGACACTAATCATTAGATTTAGGGCCCACCCTAACTCAGCATGACCTCATTTTAACTTGACCCTATTTCCAAATAAGGCCACATTCACAGGTAATGGGGGGTTAGGATTTCAACGTATCTTTTTGTGAGACAATGCAACGCACATCACATACTCTGATTCAGGTTTGATTATGAAGGTCTTTTTGGCTTAGGTATGTTTGAGGATAAGACAGGAACTATTGAAAAAGTTAGAAAACAGGTCCCTTGGTGCTAGGGATGACCCATCTATTAGGATGAAATGAAAATTTTAATGTGCAATAAATTTACTTAAGCTAATTAAAGATTTAAAGATAGGTTTATTTTGCATTATTTTTTCAAACTTGAAGACCTTAGGTTATGCAGTGTAAAAATCATGAAAAAATCATAAAACTGAAACTGGAAGAAGAGACATAGAATGATGAATTTTAAGGTAAGAATTATAACCTGAATTTGTCCAGAGGCCTGTGCAGTAGGTAGAAAAGCTCCAGCTGATGTTCCAAGTTTACAGTTTTGACAATTGGGGCAGCAAGTTGGCAGAGATGGAATGCAAAGGACCCGGGTCCCTGAGCACCAGCACATGCCACGGGAGCCCAGCCCCACTTGCCCCACTGGCCTTTTCCTCACATTCCCACAGGTCTGGGAAGGTGCCCAGATGGTTCATGGCACTTGGTCTTTAGCTGCTGCTCCCCTGCTGTGCAACATCCAGTACATGGACATTCTTCAGTGGTGTGTCAGGAGTTACTAGTATTTCCCTCTTTAAGTCACCACATGTCAAGTCTAGGGGTTGTTTATCAAAGGAAGTTTAAGTTCCCATTCTGATAGCACAATGATAGGACTGTATCAGGTTTAGCAGCGTAATAAATTCCTTAGCAACAGTATACATTCATAGCCACTGTGAGTTTTTATGGAGCTCCTGTTTACAGGTTGGACAGCAATTGTGTGCAGGTTGGACAGATGGGAGATGAGTAAAGAGATAGGGCTGTTTCTAGCCTTCAGGAAATTCAAAGTTAGGAGACAACCAACAGGAATCAGGGTTCACACAAGAACTGATAAAGATGCCACAACATTGGAGCCAATAGGAAAACTTCCCTAAATGTATGATCTAATAAATAAATAGGGGCGCCTGGGTGGCTCAGTGGGTTAAAGCGTCTGCCTTCGGCTCAGGTCATGATCTCAGGCTCCCTCTCCCCCTCCTGCCTGCTTGTTTTCTCTCTCTCTCTCTCTCTCTCTCTCTCTCTCACTTTCTCTGTGTGTCAAATAAAATTCTGAAAAAAAAAAAAAAAATCTGGACACAGAGTGGGAGAAGTTAGCCACAGGGATCTGTAGAAGAACACCAGAGACTTTAATAGTGAAGGCCTCTGTGCTTGAGGCCTTCGTTTCGATTTTCCTGCCTCAGTGGTTTGGTTGGGCATCAGTTCCCAAAAAAAAACTGCTCACCTGTTCTCTGGCCCAGTATTGCCTGGTTTTCCCAGGTCATCTGGGCACTTCTGTGGTCCCAGTGAATCCACAGCTGCTAGGGTGAAAGGTGTAGGGGTGAGTGAGAAGGGCATTGGTCCACCTGAGCTGCCTGGCTCCGGGCTTTGCGTTTCTGCCTGGCTCCAGTGTGGCCCGGTCACATGGACCCTTAGAAGGGGGACTGTTTAGAGTATTCCTCAAAAAGGGAGCCTCATTTCATGTCTCTTAAGTGGGAATGCAGCCACAACTATGTCCTCAGGGCAGGGACCAGTGGTGAAGCCACCATACTTTTTAGGTGACCGCAGGGCAAATAATGTACAGACATCATTTCCTTTGACTAATCTTTTGTAATCCTGGCCCAGATGTGGCTCCTGCAAGTGGTTAAAGTTCTTTGTCTAAGTTGAGATTTTTAATTTAGGACCCAGATGGGGTAGGAGGTAAACTTCCAAAAGGTCTCTTTTACTCAGTGTGTCACTGTCCTGGATTCCTGGCAGGCAGCGGTTTCATGAGAAAAGCAGATTGCAGCCTGACGCATCTGCTCGGTGAGACGTGGAGTACAGCTTCTTAGCACTTATGCAGCCTGTCTGCTCACTGGACAGAGCAGAACCCTCTGGTGCCCTGTCCGTTCCGCAGCAGTGGCGGCTCCAGGCGCCTGGCCCAGGCCATGGAAAACCTTGAGAGACAGTCTGTTATGGGGCCAGAGTTGTCCTGGAATTTCCTGGCCTTTGTCTGGTGTAACTTCATGTACTGAGACGCCTGTTTCGAGTGCACTTCCTCCTGGGGAAAGAGCACAGCTGCCTTCCGCAGAGCACTTCTGCTTCCTGCGGCCGAATAACCTCTTCCCCCCTCAGGCCTGTGGGCGGGGCGAGGGCAGCGCTCTGGTCAGGTATGTGTATCCGGCCCCCATTAGACAGTATGCTCCTGGAAGTCACTGGTCACAGAGGAGAAGCCACTACCATCGGCCATAAAAGCTGCATCTGCCGACCTGGCCCACACCTCCTAACTGGTTTTTTTTCTCATGCTGCAGCAGAAAAAATCCTACCTGGAGCGGAGTGTGAAGGAAGCGGAGGACAACATCCGGGAGATGCTGATGGCACGAAGGGCACAGTAGGAAATCTCTAGCAGAAGCTTCCTGCTCCCTCCTATTCCTGGCAAGGGCAGAGGGGCCCATGTGGGGAAAGCATCCTCTCTTCTGCCCTGATGGACTTTTTATTTGGATGATCTGGTAACCCTATGTTTTCTACTTCACCCTGATCCCTTTTCAGACCCCAACTCTGGGTTTTTTATCCTGGCTCTGTCTGCTATACCCCTGCCCAGAACACTCTTCTCCCCTGGGGGTGAGTCACCAACTCCCAGGAGAGGGAAGCTGGGAGTCAGGACAGAGGGGAGCTCTGCCCAAGCCTATCACTAGTTATGCTGCTTAGACCAATAAAAGGTGTCTGTTCCCCCAGCCACTCTGCTAAGTCTGCCTTTCTCAAGCTGAAGGATGAGAACCAAGGGCCAGAGAAGCAGAAGCTTTCAACCTCAGCTCCCTCCTTGTCCTGTCTCCTTCCAGGGCTCTGGCTCTGTTCCTTCTTTATTGGAGCCTTTTCTGCCTCCCCACCCCCCCCCCGCCGTTTTTTCCCCTTCTGTTCCTTTGAGTAAATCCCTCACCTTCTGAGCCTCTCTGCAGATAAGGAAGGAAGGAGACCAGGGCATAGCTGAATTCAAGTAACTTTGGTGGCAGTGTGCCCAAAGATTCCTTCCTCTTCCTCACAAATGTTCCTGAAGAAAATGCAGTAATAAACCAGCAGTACCTCCATGGCTGTCTAACCCTTTGGCCACTGTCACAGAGGTGGACACTAATCCTAAGGCCTCCTACAGGCTTAGGGGCAGTGGTGTGCTGGAGCTGGCTTGTACTGGCTCGTGAGAGCCAATTATTAAAACAAGTGTTAGAACTATTTCAATCCAGTTGTGAAACACAGCCATTATTAAAAATTAAGTTAGGTAAATATACACAAATTAAGAGTAATAAATATTCAGAACTTACCCCCTTCCTAATTACTAAATCTGGCCATTATCTATGTTTTTGATAACAGTCTATTGTATCTGGATGATGGAAATGCTACATAATGGTGCACTCCTGCGCTTTTCTTCCCAACTCTGCGTTCAGGACATCATGTTGGTAGCTTGAAATCAGCTATTGTGGGACCATTTACTCCACAGAATCAGGTGATGGATAAAATAAGGATTTGTTTTAAAGAGCACTGGTAGTTAAATATGAGCACATCACTGCTTCAGAGTGAAAGTGGGCAGAGAGCTGTCAGCTGCAACCTCCCAGGGCTGGCCGAGCCCGCTAGCTGAAGGAAGATGACTCTGTTATGGCGGCTCAGCGCCACCCTGCGGCCAAAGCGGAGATTGGGTGGCCTGCCTGTCTGGCTTGTTCGATGACAGCTCTTCTCTCTCCTGTGTGTGTGGAGGGAGGCTGGGGGCGTGAAGGGCTGGCAGCAGAAAAGGCGGCGTAGGCTCTGGGTAAAAGCACCTACAACAGCTTGGTGAGCCTGTCTCCCGGTGGGACAAGGGAGAAAATGCTAGCCTGGTGAGGACGCCTGCATTCCTCATAGCACCCACCCGCAGTGGAATGAAAATGTAAATAGACTCCTCCCTCCCTCGTCATAGTGGACGCCGGCTACTAGCGGAGAAACCCAGGGCTTATATTCTGTCTGGAATAATTCATTCAGTTGAGGTTTACACAAATTTATTGAAACATACAGGGTATTAGCAGAGAAATCATTCATTCAGTGGTATTACATTATGTCACTACCTTGAATGTATAATTTTAAAATTATAAATATATATTTTATAAGCCTTTGGCCAAAAAAATAAAAGTCATTTAGCACATTTGTGAAAGGCCAATAAGAAATGGATTTTAAACATTAAAAAGATAGTCACTGAATTAAACAGCAGCGCAACCCCTGCTAATCTAGAACCCCACTGTGTCGAAGGTAGAAGTGTCTGTGCAGAGCTAGTCATTTTCCTTGATTTCAGCAATCAGAAGAGATGGGGCAGGCCCACCTGCTGAAGGTGGTGGCAGAGCTGGCAGGACAGGGAGGCTGGGCTGGTCAGGTGAGCATGTCCCAGAGACAGCAGCAACAGAGCGCAGTCCAGCAGGCTGTGAGGCAGGTGGATGGGCCCAGGTCATCCCTTCTTTGGTCTTCCACCACATACACTGGAGGGAGAAGGGGAGAGAGGGTGAGAATGAACTGGCACAAAGCCCAGGCCCTACAGAGCCAGTGCCTCCCAGACCAGGGGTGGACTGCAGCAGCCGAGAGCCACCAGGCAGACTGGGGGCGGCCTTTCACTTACACTGTGGCAGATGTTTGGAGGAAGGGTGGCTTAGCTCAACTACTTTCTCTCCTCCTCCTAAGGACTTTTATCCCTGCCGGGACAGGTGCTAGGGAACCGACAAAATGGCCTCACACTAAGGCAGCCAAAGAGAGAGTAAGGGACACTTCTTGTCTGGCCAGAGTTGGTTAGCCCTGCTTGCTTTAGAAACCAGGCAGCAGTATGTCCTGTACCTTACTGGTATTTCCTCAGATACCATTATGCCATCTCCCAAAAGGCATAAAGTTCCTAAAAAGGAACTGCAGGCCCTAAGAGGATAACCAACAAGAGTCCCGGTTTTTCAAACCTGGGCAATGCACGCAATCACAGTGTGCCGCAGACACAGTGGTGGGAGGCAGGGATGAAGACCTGGTCAAGTGAGGGGATGGCTGGAACCTAGCACCCTGGCTTTTTCGCAGAATGGAGATGGAACTCTAATAAGCCCTGTCAGGACTAAGTGCTCTATTAAGAAATTTGAGTGCTACACAAATACACAGGTCAAAAAGGACCCCAACTTCCCTTCGCGAGTCAGCTGACTTGCGGCCGACATCAGCCTTCCTTCCGGTAAGCACATACTTAAAATGGCTGGTGGTCAGCCTTGGTCTCAGAGGGTCTGTGCCCCCTTTTAAGAAAATCTGAAGACAACCACCACCACTAAACTCATTTATAAGTAGTAAGGATTTTAAAAAACTTTTTCAAAGTTAATGAATACATGAATCTTATAAGTTAAACTGGTCCTTTGGCAGTTTTCTTTCAGTTCTATTTTTGTGTATCTATTTTTATACCTCCTCTCTTGGCAACTGCTCTCTCTGAAGCCTGGTATAGTAGCTAGAATACTCTGGGTTAGTAGTGAGCTTTTCCAAGTTGTCCCACTGTGTCAGCCACCCTCCACAGACCTCCCTTCTCTTGTGGCACAGCTTTCAACTCAGCCTGCTTTCCTTTGGCCCCACTCAGCAACACAAGCAAAACTGTTCTGAGGTCTGGGAGACAAGACCCAGCCCCAGGGAAGCCTAGTGAAAGAGGAGAAGACATTTATTCTGAGGCCTGTAAGGTACGTTACCTGATTTAGTCGTAACAGCAGTACCTGAACATAGACACTACCATCATTCCCATTTCACAGGTAAGCAATGCAAAGCTTCGAGAGGTGAAGTCTCTCATCCAAGCATTCATAACCAGCCAGAGGCAGGCTCAGGGTCTGAACCCAGGCTCTTGGCAAGCTAGACTTGCCCAGGCCCATCTGGGGTAGAAAAGGGATCAGGAAGAACACAGGACTGAATGTGCTCTAGGACCATCCTCTCTCTCACCCCACCCACTAAAGGCATGCACAGTCCAAACCCCTGGGGCCACCTCACCTCGGCAGGAAAGCCCTTTTCACCTGCTCTCTGCCCAGATGACCTGCCCAAGTCCCAGCCTCCCTTCAGCCTGCAGTCGGCAGCTTCAAACAGGGAAATGAACACAACAGAATGCACACTCCCCAGAATAATCCCTTGCTGTATTCTACTTGCCAGAGGACCAGCTCTGCTGCCCTTGAGACAGAAGGGCCCTCTCCCCTGCCAGCTCTAAAAAAAACCACTTGCCTCATCTAGGCCTGAGACCCTACCTGGTTGCTATGTGTGAGCGGTCCTGCAGCCTCTCTTAAGCTACCATTTGTTGAGATCACAAATGTGCCGGGACCTGTGCCAACAGCCTTCTATACATAATACCACTCAGTCTTCCCAACCCTGTGGTACAGGCATTGGGACACCCATCCTCACTGCTTCTCCTCCCTGTGCTTCTTCCCTCCCATTTTACCATGGAACCTTGGGCAACTTCATCAGGGAAACTTCCTCTAACACCTTTCTTCATTGTAGCCAAGTTTGTCCTTGCTAAGGCTTTATTTCACATGACAGGCTCTGAAACCTGGGGCAATGGGGACGTGGAGCTCATTGCTCCCAGACAGTGCTCACAGGCGTGGCGTCAGGGGGGTTTTGGGGGCGGGGTTAGAAATAATCCATCTGGCTACAGGACAGGAGACTTCAAAGGGCTGCGTCAACCTCATTTTGGGGGTGGGGTGTAAGTTCTCAGCATACCTTAGAAACCCTGTCACTTATTTCCTGGGGTGCCGAATCTTCTGAAGCCCTTACGACTTTCTCCTTTTCATTAGGTGACAACAGAACCTCTACCCCCAAACTACTGAAAAAGTAGGGGGTGGGAAGAGGGTGTGGGGAGGGTAGGTCTGGAGGTAGGAGTAATGTGTAAGTTTTCCTTGCTTTTCTGTCACCCAAAGCAGGGGTGACTGGCCCAGGAGAAAGCTCTTGAGGAAGGCCTCACAGTTCCTCACAGCACCCACCGTGGGGCTCTCGAATGGCATACAACTTCATCTTCCTAGATGCCCTGCCTACGGGGAGGATCTGAGGTCCTGCACCTCCAGAGGGTGCCTGCTGCACTGGGCAACACGGCCTACTCTTCCCCAGCACACACCCCACCGGGGGCCCTCACGGCTCCTCACCTACTCCCCCACCCACTGGGTCACACTGGGTCAGTCTGTCCGCCAGCTCCTATACCGTCCTGGCTGACTGGTCGGTTGGAATGCAGCCCACTCTGCCTGCGGCCGGGGGTACTCGAAGCCTGGGGACTCGTGTGTCTTGAAGCCGCCCCGGCAGGACTGCTTTCCCAGCAGGAGCCCTGCTGTGGCAGAGAGGACTCCAGCACTCGTGTTCATACCCAAGCCTTCCTGGCGAGTGGCCTCCCCCGGCACACAGGGCATAAAAAGGGG